TGTGGCCATAGCATGAACCAGCCTTTAACTCACTGAACAGAGATGACTGGGATGAACATGGTCTCTAGTTTCTCTTCCCCTGTCAGATTAAGACTTGGTGCCATGACTGGACACCGCCTTGCCCAAAGACTGGGGATCATCAGTTTCCTCCAAAGAGTTGAGCTTTGTTTCTAGGTCTTTGGAGATGAATTGTGAAATACGGCAAGACATCGGCTTTTTGATTAAAAAGAGACTTTTCTGTCACTGAAAGTGATTCAGGAGATCATTTACATTATTGTAACACTTTAAAAATAATAAGTAGATAGCCATTTGTCAAATGCCATCCAGTTATTTTGGTGCAATCCTTTAACCACAACCATTTATCTTTATCTGCAGATTTAACAAGACATGTAAACAGAATGCAGCCCTTCCATAAGATGTAGTTACACATCTTTGTTGACATTTCAGCTGAAAAATTAAAAGTATCAGTCGAAGGCAAGTGCATGTCAAATTTTTATCTCTTAAATTACACCGTGTGCTCCAGCAGCCAGCAACGCGCATCTTCTGATCTCACTGCCGACTACTCACCATCAAACTGAGCCATCTTGTCACACAGCTTGACCTCTCCAAGGACAGTCTTGAATTGGGGCTGGTTGACACAGGTGACGAACCAGCGAGTCACGTTGGGGTAAGGCTGGCGGAAAGAAGGCTCGAGGACCTATAGGGGACAGAGGTGTGTTAGGTGCTACTGGAGAGAATTCTAACTCATTCATTAGAAGTGCTGCAACAAAATAATATTTATTATTAACAGTGTGTACCGGTTATGTGCTGTGTGTATGCCAAACCTGTTTGTAGAGCCAGACCATGGAGCTTGCCAGAGTGATGTCAGCCAGGCTGACCCTCTCCCCCACCAGGAAGGTACGGGTGTTCAGGTGCTGGTTCAGCACTGTAAGGGCCCTCTTCACGTCCTCCTTGGCCTGCTCTGTGGCCTGGACAGACCCAGACAGAAGAATGATTATGCAAAATTACACAACATATAAAATCTACGACACGGTCAAGTGCCAAGTCTCAACTACAGCACACGCCACTCTGGCCAAATAAAATAGTTACCATCCTCCCACCACAGCTAACAAATCATAATTAAAGTCTTTAGCTTAACTAGAAAATGCTGAGTTGCAAACCTGCTTGTTGAACTGCATGATTCCCAGAGTGGGGAAGACCCATGCGCTGGCTGGTGGGATGATCTCCGAGTCAGCGAAGCTCACCCACTGCAGCACCTGCGCAGCGGCCTGGGGAGTGGCACCACGCAGGGCATCATTGCTCACTGTGGGTGAAAGGCGAATATCTTTAATCATTATGTCATAACCTTCTATATTTTAAACACTGAGCGGACGGAAAGTTGGTTTTCATGGCATTAACTATGCATTGCAGTATTAAAGTATTGCCTTCAACAGGATGCTTCACAAGCAGTTTCAAGTGCAGACTAGTTACAAAGTCTGATGAAATGCAGCAAACAGTGCAACAGACATTTAAAACATTTAACTCGTCTATCGGGTATAACTAATAATGAACCGTGGATTTATTACACATCAAAAGGACAATGTTGGTGATTATCACTGAGAACAATTGAGATGATTTTTGGGACTGTGTAAAAAGAAAACCCTGGAGCCTTGTAGACCAGCCACTATAATTAAACAAGGATGTGTATCAACCAATATGGATCATTAATGATTGGTAACAAAAAAAAACAAACAAAAAAAATGTGATCAGAGATCTCTAAAAGTTATATTTGCTCCTTTTCTTTTGTGAAACTAATAAAACTTAAGCAGTGCTGTCTTATTTCAATTAGCTGAGGTAAGTCTCTTGTTAATGTGGCCATAGCATGAACCAGCCTTTAACTCACTGAACAGAGATGACTGGGATGAACATGGTCTCTAGTTTCTCTTCCCCTGTCAGATTAAGACTTGGTGCCATGA